TGAACTGCTGCTGGTTGTTCCTGATACAGCACGAACAGATGAGATTCTGGCTCAGAATCAGTCCCAGATACCTTTGAATTGGAGAAAGAAAAGGGCCTCCAGGTCTAATTTTATTAGGCTTACTTTAGCAGGAACTCCCATAGCAAATGCATTCGTTTATATAAACACAACCTCTGAAGCACCCAGAGTGGAGAACCTGGACGAGATAGCAAGATAGTTGCTTAACAGTGTAAAGGACCAGGAGAATTGTGCTTATAAACCCTCAGTGTAAGCTGTGTGTGCTATGGCACTTCTTTGTTTGTAATATACTTAATTGTAAACGTGGTGTATTTGAATTTTACAAAATTCATAGGGGAAAAAATGGCATTGAAATTTAGTGTTCATCTAAAGGTAGTAAACTCATAAAATGCAAATAATTCAAGCACATGCTCACATCAAGATTATTCAAGACCAATTTTGCTATGACTACTGCACCCACAGGCCTAAGGCACGTATTTGAATGCCTCCACTGACTTCTGGCCAGCATCCAGATGGCCTGACTGGGGAGGTAGAAAGGGAATGGGGGGAAGAGTGGATGGAGGTGTCTTCAGTTTTACGTAAGTCTTGAAAGAAACTCTGAACTGGTACAATCTGTACAGATTACACTAAAGACAAGGCCAGCACAGGTAAAACAAATATCCTAAGTACAGAGCAGCTGTACTCCCAACTGGAGTCGCACACAGCATCTATCAAAAATAAAAAGAATAAATAAAAAAAAGAACAGAAGCAGTGAGAAGTTGGGTACTTACAGTCATTTTCTCTAACTGAAGGGAAAGTACTGCGATTCATCACTTTCATACCTTTGATCTAGGGTGACTGGACCATCTAGCTTGCTGAACTATTTAACCTACCACAGTAAAAGCACTACAAGCAAAAGTAAGCAAAAATCCTCCATGCCGTTGCATTAGTTATATTTCAGAGGCATGACAAGCACTCAACAACTAAATGCAAGTTCCTCTGCTCAGACAAGCACACTTTAGTCGAAACTCTGGAAATCTGAAAGGTTGAGACAGTCACACTAGTGATACACTAGCTCTCATCCTAGCACACAATATGGGCCTTATCATTAATTGCCCTCCCCCATTCCCCTTCTACCAGAGGCAGCCTTATAAACTTTTTCCTACTAAAACTTCATGCTTCTGTTGTAGTGGTTGCCTCTGAGGCCACCACCTTGTAACTCCATACCACTTCCTCTTCCCATGCCCCAAGCACATAAAACAATTTCTACCAGTGTTTTGTTATGCAACCTCTTTGTGGCCTGCTGTTTCATTGTGCACTCACCTTTTCTGTTTAAATGTCTACCACCTTTGCAAAGTTTTACCTCACTCTTGAAAGCTCTTCCAGATTAAGTACAAAGAGATGACCATGAGCTTCACTTCCACACATCAACACTACCCGTCCTCTTGTCATTGCGAGAGATCCCCTCTCTACCTGCCCTTGCCCCATGATCACCTCAAAGTCTCCATGTATGGACATACTCACAGCATCTCATTTGCCACACTCCTAAGGCATCACCTTGTCAATGTGTTTCATCCTTCACCAACCTAAGTAACTACTCTGTGACCCTGACAAATTGTTAATCCCCATTTTTGTCATGTCATGACCTACTTGTCAAGGGGTGAGTTTAAGTCTGGCAGCAACTCAGAGTATTTTTCCAAAGGTTTTCCACAGACACATTACGAAAATTCTCCTGAACTTCTTAATGCTCTTTTACACCTTGACTGATTACTGCCTCTCTAGCAAGCCTCCTGGTTATCTTAATAACCTCCTTCATCCATTTTTTTTACTGCTCTTGTCATCTCCTTTTGCCTTCAAGTCTTTGATGGAGGCAGACAGAAAATACATGCCACCTAACATGCAACATGTAAACACTCACAGGTTTGCAGCAGACTGTTCAGATGTCCTTTTGAGTCAGGTTATTAAAAAAAAAAAAGTATTGTGTAAATGTAATCACAAGTACACTGGATTTTTGGCTATTGTTGTTCCACTTCTTGAACTGAATACACAGTCACCATTTCAGACTAAGCTCTAGAACAAGACTCTGGGACCTCTAGACTACCTACTTCTTAAGGGATCTCCTGGCTAACTGCCCAGTCGCTGATCATGCCTTCAAATTTAAGTGCAGAATTGTGCTCTGACCTGACACTTGACTAATTTACATGAAATTAACTCTTTGTACTTCCTATGCCACATAATGCTTGCCCATGGGGAGAGGTAAAAAGCCTTCTTTCTTTGTATGGTTGTTCCCCCTGCCCCAGGCTGCTGCCTGTTTATCTTCTCTAAAGACTTGTTCACAGAGGCCTAACAGTTAAAAAAAAAAAATCTAAGATACCCTCTATAGGAGAATAAAGTAGAGGCATAAGATTCCCTTTAACATCACACTTGAAAAGCCCCTTCTGTAGTTTCTGTGAAACACTTGCTCTACAGACATATATACACGTAAAGCATCCCAAAAGCTTAGAACTACTAGTGTTAAATCACAGATGGTCTACAAATGCACTTATCCACAAGTCGTGCAGATGTTTCACATGTATTGCCTATTGGTGCTTGCTTGCCAGCATACTCAAGAGAGGAACAAGTGCTGATCTCCACTTAGTTACTACATTTAACTGATAATAGATCCTTTTTCCTCCCTCTTCCTTTTATGCGTGTTCTAGTTTGGTCTAAGAAGTTAGTAGGGCCAGCCCCCAGGCAGGCTGGCACTCCTGCCACTGGCAGTAGCAGACCCTTCACTTAGGGAAGACCTCCAGCCTCTGGGCAGTTCCATGGTCAAGATGGTTTCTCATCTTTCAATAAGATTAACTTTAGCACCTCACTGAGATCAACAGCTGTCATACAACATTAAAAGCTACACAGATTACTTGTGTTTTCTGATGTTTAAGGATTATACACATGCACTTAAACTGCCTACATGACTACAAATTTGAAAATTGATTATAAAACAGTAACACTTGACTCAGCTCTAAGCGCAAGTGTTCCAAATGGCTCTAGTGTCACTTCATAAATTAAAAAAAAAAAAAAAAAAAAAAACCACAAGGCATCCAAAAGCTTTCATCCAGCAGGATGTTAAGATGGTTGCATCTTTCCTTCTTATCAGTTAAACCTCTCCTGAGTATGAGTGAACTCTCTATCCTTTCCTCTTCAAATGCTTATTTCAAGTTTGGCAAGTCTAGGATGGAAATGCTTTACACATAATGCCCTTGCAAATGTTTCCTGTGCAAGTTCTATTGATTTCATCAACTGCAGCCAGAAGCCATCTCGTATTTTACCAAAATCTATTTTAGTTTAGGAGATTATTTTAGCCATTAACATCGTACCTGCATTCATCCCATGTACAGTCCTGCTACAACACATTAATAAAAAACAAACAAACAATCCTCCCCATGCTGATTTATCCATACAGCAGGATGGGTGGGGGTAAAAGAAAAGAAAAAAAAAGAAAAAAGCCACACATACACACCCCAGGAAAAAAATGCATTTCTCTATGAAGTAGAGAGCTTAGAGAAAATTAAACTAAAAAAAGGCAGGGAGAGGCAGAGAAGAAGCAAGAAAAACAACAACAACAAAAAGACAACAAAACAAACAAACAAAAACAGAAAATCCATCTGCTCCTAGAACCAGCTCCCTTTGAACTCACACTTTCCACCTACACATGCAGGATATTCTCAGATATTCTCTTGCATTCCCTTTGTGTCTTTTTTTTTTCCTGCACCAAGCAGACTATACTAAATTCAAATACCTGTTCTCTGAATGCTTCAAGAAACAGAGGCTGTAACATCTTTAATTAGACCACGCTTCCTGACATTGCCTGGCTGATACAGTAATGAAAAAAAACAACCAACCAACCAAAAAACAAAAAGACAACCTCACTGCACTGGAGGAAAAAACCAAAACAAACAACAAGAACAGTTTTCACTTGTACTGTTGAGCTCTTCACATTAAGCACTTTTAAAACTTTCTTTGGGAAACGCCGTCTACAAGGTTTGAGCCACCTGCTACAGCTTTAGCTGAAGGGAGTGAGGTGATCACGATCGCAAGCTCCAATTTGCATACAGCTTTGGTCACCACACCTTGCCACGGCCGGCACGCCTAAAAAGACAGCAGCTTTGCCAGCAAGTTAAACTCACAAAGAAAGTTTCGGAGTTCCTGCGTAAGTGTTGCGTGAGGGGGG